CTAAGTGAGGTTAAGCTTAAAGCTACCTTAACAATAGCTTAGAGCTAGCTTAATGATAGCTCAAACCTAGCTTAATGGTAGCTCAAAGCTAGCTTAACGGTATAGCTTCGAGTGAGGTGCTAGCTCAAAGTGAGCTTAGTGGTAGCTCTATGTAAATTTCACTCGCTTGAAACATCCAAGTAGTTCACTTTGAGTGAGTTGGCATCATCTTCTGGGGCTACACCTTGACTTGGCTCGCTCAGAACAAGTTGTTAGTTGTTTTGAACGAATTTCACTATCTTGGAACGGGTAGCTTGGAGTGATGTGTCCCTTTTGAAACTTGTAGCTTCCAAATTATTTTCTCCTTGTTTTATATATCTCAACAAAAAAAATATCTAAAATACCTAATATTTAAACAATTAAATCCTAAAATAAAATTAACCTTTGATTGAGTTTTTCTTTTTCAAAACAAGATTTTGAAGCATGAGACATATTAATAATTGTTTAAATTGAATTAAATTGCAAGCATAATTTAAAATTATCAATCATCACATTGTCAATCAGTTGAAGGTATTGAAGGTAGTCTATGAACAACCTCATACTCCCATATTTCTTTTTCACTAACAAAACAAATGCTCTCCAAAATGATACTCTAGGTCCTACAAACTGCTTCTCTAACAACTCCTCTAAATGTTTCTCAAGCTCAACTAGATCTAAGGGGACATCCAATAAGGTGCTACAAATATGGGTTTGGTTCTTGATGTTACATCTATGGAAAATTCTATTTCACGATTGGGTGGTAGACTAGACAAAGCCTTAAGAAACACTTCGGGGAACTCACTCATTATAGGTATCTCACTCATAATATCCTTACTTTGTAACCTCAAGGAGGCTAACATCATGTATACTTAGGCATCCTCTTTCAAAGACGCCTTAACCTATAAAGAAATCCTTACTCTTATCCTCAACAAATTGACCAAAGATGATTAGTTTATTTGAATAGTTTAACAAGATATGATTGGAAGATAACTAGTCCATACCTAGAATAACATCTAGTTGACTAAAAGGCATACTCGATACTCGACTAGAACTGGGATGAAAATACAAATTTCATACTCATCGGGTATAGGAATGAGGATGGGTATAAGGTACGAAAATGAGAATAGGAATGGGAATGGGGATGGGGATGGAGATAGTGAAACCCATATTTGTCCTACCCCATTGCCTTGCTTATTGAATTGCACCCAACTCGGTTACTCCCATGCTCAATATTGAGGAGCCAAAGACCCTTCTAGAACAAAATTGCCTAGGATGATCCAGATCACACCCGAAGTCATCCTTTCTCAAAGACAACATCAAAGTCATGCCAAGCGAGACCTCCTTCACCTAGTGTAGAGAAGTCAGAGACCTTTATGACACCCATGGGCTTGGTGTCGCTTCCTCTACCCCTAATGCAGAAAACTAGGTTCATCACGTTCGACACTTTGAAGGTGTGCCCAACACTACCACAAAATCTAAACTTCGTAGAATCGTAATGCTTGCTATTTGGCTACCACAAAAGCCCAACTACACACATCAACAAGCTATTTTTTACAATTTAATTAGTAAAAAGACTTTATAACATATACAAAACAAACATTTATCATTAATTCATACAACCTCACCCAATTTCATAAGAAATCCCAATTTACACACAATACCCTAACTCTTAACCATACCAATCCACAAAGATCAATTCATTAGAATTTAATACACAAAATTACATAAATAGAAAAAAAAAATAATACTTATAAGCATCCACATATTTTTAATCAACAACCTAAGAGACTTATAGATCTTGTCACTACTCACAACCCTCATATGTGTCCTTAGATTCAACATCCTCATTTACCCCTTACTTTGACTAATGATTTCCTAGTATTACATGCCCTTCGTAGCCTTTGTTGCATATCTGCATTCTCTTTGATAGCATCCTCTAAGTCTTCCTCTACATGGATCTTAAGGTTCAAAAAAGATGTATAAGAAAATAAACTAACCTTAATTTGTTTTTGTTTTTAATTAGCTTTTAGGTTGGGTTTAGAGTCCTACACAATTCTATTCTTTCCAATTAATTAAGTCAGAAAATATAATTATTTTATGAAACACTTATTTTATTTATGAAAAACGGGATATTACAACTACTAATAGACTTTCAATAACACAAAATTATAATAGTCCTTAAGAATTATAATACGAGTACTAATAATAATCTTTCAATAATAAGACTATACTATAATACAAAGTGACATACACCAAAAGTTACAAAATAAATAAAAATAATATTTAATTAAATAGGATGGCAAACCAACTTGCCCTGACGCTCCATTTACCCCAATAGGCTAACAAACTAAAATGTCCACCTCGATCCGCTAGGCCACTTTGCCACCCATACAGGTAAGTCCTAAATGTTTTTTTGATCCCTCAAGTATTATCATGGGATTTTGGTCTTCAAGGTTTTGATTAAGTAATTTTAATCCCTCTAGCATCGCAATTATATGATTTTGATGCTCCAATTTTTAATTGAGTAATTTTAATCTTTCAAGAATCGCAACGTTACAATTTTAGTGACTCTTATTAAAAATTTAATAATCTTAAAATTATTATTCACACACACACACAATATTTTAAAATCATATAAATTACATATATTAAAATTTTCATCCAAGTATCAAATGATATACACTTATTATTATTATTATTATTATTATTAAAATAACATATATATATATATACACATATATTGTATATTATTAGTATCATAATATTATTGATAAATTAATACCAATAATATTATTTGTATATTTATAAATTAATTAATAATTTCATAAATATAAATTAGTATATATTAATATAATTTAAAAAATATAAATATATTATATTAGAAGAAAGATAATTAGAAACACAGGTATATCACTACAAAAAAGAATTTTATTATTGACAATTTATCTCTGTCTGTCCCAATAAATCGTCAAAAAATGTTAAAATTTTGGTTGAAATGTTACAAATAACTACAATTTGTGGGGTTTTTAAACTACCAGAATGTTTTAAATACCTGTGTCACTCAAGAGATGGCTAACTTAAAGTCATCCATGAGACAAACTCATTACTTATATTAAACTAAAATTTAAAGAGAATAAAAAAATTAATAAAATCAATTTAAAAGAAAATTAATAGAAATCAATTTATTTTATTCAAATAGCAATTTTAAATCCACACTCACAATGAAAATAGATTTGGCACTCACAATAATCTCCTCTCTTCGAAAATCAAAACTTAGGTCACAAAACTTGCATGTTATAGAACTTGTTTGAGTATGGTTTCGACTTACTGCGTTCTTAATATTCACTCGACACTCTTT